TTCAATCATGTAATAGAAGGCAACTTGGCTCAAAATGGGCCGAACAAATGTGCATGCTGTCAGGGTTAAACCCCGAATCACACCGATTTACGGCTATCAATGTTGAGCGCCATTCTGCATCTTTGGGAAAGCCAAAGTAATTAATACCCTGTCCTGTTTTCTTACTGGAGTTGGTACAACCGACCACACAACAGTGTTTGCCACCCATTGTTTTACCCCTGGAGCAAACCGGAAGTTGCTTCCTATACCACCCGGTGGGGGCGCTGCAAACATCGGGAAGCTCCTTGGTTGATTATAGAGCGTGACGTCATGGAGTCGGCGGTCCCGTTAATTTAGGTCTATGCATTGTCATAAAGGGAAACAATTCAACTTTGTTACATCGTCGTAAAGGGAAACAATTCAACTTTGTCACATCGTCGTAAAGGGAAACAATTCAACTTTGTCACATCGTCGTAAAGGGAAACAATTCAACTTTGTCACATCGTCGTAAAGGGAAACAATTCAACTTTGTCACATCGTCGTAAAGGGAAACAATTCAACTTTGTCACATTGTCGTAAAGGGAAACAATTCAACTTAATCACATCGTCGTAAAGGGAAACAATTCAACTTTGTCACATTGTCGCAAAGGGAAACAATTCAACTTTGTCACATTGTCATAAAGGGAAACAATTCAACTTTGTCACATTGTCACAAAGGGAAACAATTCAACTTTACCACATCGTCGTAAAGGGAAACAATTCAACTTTGTCACATTGCACAAAGGGAAACAATTCAACTTTGTCACATTGTCGCAAAGGGAAACAATTCAACTTTGTCACATTGTCACAAAGGGAAACAATTCAACTTTACCACATCGTCGTAAAGGGAAACAATTCAACTTTGTCACATCGTAGTAAAGGGAAACAATTCAACTTTGTCACATTATCACAAAGGGAAACAATTCAACTTTATCACATCGTCGTAAAGGGAAACAATTCAACTTTGTCACATTGTCACAAAGGGAAACAATTCAACTTTATCACATCGTCGTAAAGGGAAACAATTCAACTTTGTCACATTGTCACAAAGGGAAACAATTCAACTTTGTCACATCGTCGTAAAGGGAAACAATTCAACTTTGTCACATTGTCGTAAAGGGAAACAATTCAACTTTCGATCCACTTCACATAGCTGTACAAAACATCAAGTATGAAAAAATGAAGCAACCGTTTCGGAAGAGACTTCATCAGTTTTTAAAATCATGCATTGTAGCAAAAACAGGAACATCATATAGCAAATATTTAAAAGGTAGGAAACAAGATATACAATACAGATGTTTTGTACGGAAGACTTCAAAAGGCTGAACTATTTTCATATGGTAACTGAACTATTTTTATATGGTATCTGAACTATTTTTATATGGTATCTGAACTATTTTTATATGGTAACTGATGAAGTATTTATTAACCTCAAGCATATTTCTCCAAAGTACATGAAGAGTTCCTTGCCAAGGGTCTGTACTCCATCCAGCTCCCTGCCGATCAACGTGTGGAACTTTGATGTTGTTATACATTTTCTTGGTTTAATCTCCTGTAAAGATAGTTCAGTTTTTATGTAGTGTTTCCTTCGTATGTCACAATGAAATTTAACAAGATAACTGACAATGTACGATATGTGATCGCTACCTGTTTTAGTGTCGCGGGGAACACATCATTGTTTGCATCAGTTTACATGGATTTAGAATTGATTTGAAATTAAGTTTTAATAATATTTGTTATTATATTCGTTAACATTAAACAAGAGATATTATTAAAACTTTTCTCATTTCTTGAAAACTTTTGATATGTTCACTATGAAAATATGCATATTTAAATCTCCTTCCTTAAAAAAAAAAATTTTACAATTTGGTATGACACGAGCTCGAGCCTTTAGGCGAGTGTCATATATATATCATGATCGAAATATTGAGCTTAAGGCCAGCATCATATACAAATATTAAACTTGATTAATAAATTCAATATGACGTGGACACCATTGTTAAATTTTATTTATCACATAAAATTTACAATTTGAAGAAAAAAACAACTTCAAATACAATTATGTGTTATCAGCTGACTCTACATAGGTAACAAGAGGCCCAATGGCCTGGTATTAATCTCACACTTGTAACCTTAAAAGTGATCTAAAATAAAGCTACATGCAAAATATCAGTATTTATGACAATAACTCATTCAAAAGACCTTAAAAATCGAACAAGGTCATTATACTGAACAAACTTTATAGCCCTTCATCTCAGCATGCAACTTGCTTAATACCACGAACCCTTGTTTATTGAGATTAGGTTATTTAAAGATTTATACATATTTGACCAAATGTGACCTTGAAAGTGGGTCAAGGTCATTCAAATGAAAAAGTTTGATAGCCCTTCATCCAAGCATGCTACTGGCAAAAACAAACTATCTGAGCCTCATAGTTATTCAGGAGAAGTCATTTAAAGATTTTAAACAAATCTGACCCCTGTGACCTTGAATATAAGTCAAGGTCATTCATTTTAACAAACTTGGTAGCCCTTTATCCCAACATGTTATGGGCTAAATGTCATCATCCTGAACCTTTTGGTTATTCAGAATAAGTTGTTTAAAAGATTTTGAAAAAAATTTGTCACTGACCTAATGTGACCATGAATTATAAGTCAAGGTCATTCATTTTAACTTGGTAGCACTTCATCCTAGCATGCTACTGGCTAGATATCAACATTCTGGGCATCATGGTTATTCAAAAAAAGTTGTTTCAAGATTTTAAACATATTTGACCCCTGTGATCTTGAATACAGGCCAAGGTCATTCATTTGAACAAACTTGGTAGCCATTCATCCCCATATGCTACTGGCCAAATATTATTACCCTGAGCTTTCTGGTTATTCAGAATAAAGTTGTTAAAAGTTTTTAACATATTTGACCCCTGTGACCTTGAATAAAAGTCTAGGTCATTCGTTTGAACAAACTTAGTAGCCCTTCATCCCAGCATGCTACTAGCAAAATATAATCATCCTTGGCGTTTTAGTTATTCGGAAGAAGTTGTTTGAAAGTTTTTAGGGTTTTTAAATGACCCCCATGACCTTGAATATAGTTTGAGGTCATTCATTTGAACAAACTTGGTTATCTTTCTTGCCAGTATATGATTGGACAAATATTATCATCCTGGGCCTTCTGGTTATTCAGAAGAAGTTGTTTAAAGATTTTAACATAATCGACCCCTCAGCCTGTGACCTTGAAAATGGGCGAAGGTTGTTCATTTGAACAAACTTGGTAGTCCTTCCTCCCAGCATTTTGGTTATTGAGAAGATGTTGTTTAAAGTAAAAAGTTGACGCCGGACAGACAGACGGAGGAACGACGGATGCCGCACAATGCACGGCATTAGCTGATTAAGCTCACTTGGCACTTCGGGCCAGGTGAGCTAAAAACCAAAGTACTATGATCATGATCATTTATAGTATCGTTATTCAGCGAAGTAGTTCCAGATTTTAGGTTGGTCAGGTGGTGCAGTGGATAGCTGGCCAACAAGAGTGATTAATATAACTTGAAATAAGTTGTTTCATAATTGTTGTAAAACAAATAAATTCAATATAAAAATTTAAAAAAAAACGGTTACTACAGACCGATTAGTCTCACGTCGGTTGTGGGGAAACACTTACAAAAGATTATAAGAGATGGCATCGTCAAACACCTAGACGAGAACAATCTGATCTCTGAACACGGGTTTAGAAGTGGTCGATCCTGCACAACACATTAGAAACCCAAAACAATCAAATCGATGCAATCCACCTAGATTTCAAAAAAAGACTTTGACAAGGTCCCACACAAAAGACTGATTAAAATAAATGGAAGGGTACGGGATAAAAGGAACACTACTAGAGTGGCTACATGATTTTATAAAAGACATGAAACAGGAAGTAGTTGGTCACCAGGGGAGTTCCACAGGAGAGCGTGCTCGGACCAGTACTGTTTCTCATCTACACAAACGATCTACCCGAGTCACTCGATAATAATATCAAAATGTTTGTTGACGACGCCAAACTTAACAAAAGCTAATGAGAATGGAATGTCACTCCAGAACGACATCAATAAGGTATGTGAATGGACAGACAAATGGCTGATGGAAGTAAATTCAGACAAATGTTAACACCTAAAAATATATATTGGCCAAGAGAAGAACAACGTCAGATATGAGATCACCCAGCAAGGGGAGAGACATCCAATAGATCTAGTGACAAGTGAAAGAGATCTCGGTGTAGTTATTGACAAAAACCTAAAATTTAGTGAGCAAGTGAACACTGCAGTATCTAAAGCTAATAGAAACATAGGTCTCAAATTTAAAACTTTCAGCTGTATTAATAAGGATAACCTTTACAAATCCTTGGTACGTCCATACCTTGAAATTCATGTCACTATGAGGTCACCTATACTGAAAAAACACCAACTCTCCTTAGAGAATGTTCAAAGAAGGGCAACCAAACTAGTTCCATCCCTAAAAGATCTCTCGTGCCCTGAGCGTATTCTTCAGCTAGCTATAGGGCTACCATCACTTGAATATAGAAGACTAAGATCTGACATGGTAGAAATCTATAAGCTGATAAACAACATAGATATAACCAACCAACAAATCATCCCTTCCTTCGACAATCTCAATGTGAGGGGAAACAAGAGGCCCAAACTTGGTAGCCCTTCATCCCAGCATGCTACAGGTGCAATATCAGTACCCTGGGCCTTTTGGTGACCTTGAAAATGGATGAAGGTAATTTATTTGAACAAACTTGGTAACCCTTCATTTAAGCATGTTAATGGCCAAATGTCATCACCCTAGGCCTCTTGGTTATTCAGAAGGAGTTGGTTAAATGATTACAACATATTTGAACCCATTGACCTTGAATATGATTCAAGGTCATTCCTTTGAACAAACTTGGTAGCCCTTCATTCCAGCATGTTATTGGTCAAATATCATTATCCTAAGCCTCTTGGTTATTCAGAAGTAGTTGTTTAAAGGTTTCATACATATTTGACCCCTGTGACCTTGAATAAAAGTCTAGGTCATTCGTTTGAACAAACTTAGTAGCCCTTCATCCCAGCATGTTACTGGCTAAATATCATCACCCTAGGCCTCTTGGTTATTCAGAAGGAGTTGTTTAAATGATTACAACATATTTGACCCCAGTGACTCTGAATATGATTCAAGGTCATTCCTTTGAACAAACTTGGTCGCCCTTCATACCAGCATGTTACTGGCCAACTATCATTATCCTAGGTTTCTTGGTTATTCAGAAGAAGTTGCTTAAAGATTTTAACATATTTGACCCCAGTCACCTTGAATATGATTCAAGGCCATTCATCTGAACAAACTTGGTAGCCCTTCACCCCAGCATGTTACTGGCTAAATATCATCACCCTAGGCCTCTCGGTTATTCAGAAGAAGTTGTTAGAATGTTTTCAACATATTTGACCCCAGTCACCTTGAATATGATTCAAGGGCATTCCTTTGAACAAACTTGGTCGCCCTTCATTCCAGCATGTTATTGGTCAAATATCATTATCCTAAGCCTCTTGGTTATTCAGAAGTAGTTGTTTAAAGGTTTTATACAACCCCCCCTACTCCTTCCCCAGGGGGTAAACGTGAGACCCTAGGGTCATAAACCTTAGGACCCTTCCATCTATGAAGAGGATTTGATTCTACCATATCTGGATCTTGAGAAGAAGATTTTAGAAATTTCAGTCAATTCAACCCTTTTTGGCCCCACCCATCAGCCCCTGGGGGTCAGTCAGGGCTCATAGGTGCATACGCCAAATGTCATCACCCCAGGCCTCTAGGTTATTCAGAAGGAGTTGTTTAAATGATTACAACATATTTGAACCCATTGACATTGAATATGATTCAAGGACATTCATTTGAACAAACTTGGTAACCCTTCATCCAAGCATGTTAATCCCTATATAAACTAGAGTAAAGTGTACCCCCTCCCCAGGGGTAAACGTGAGACCCTAGGGTCATAAACCTTAGGACCCTTCCATCTATGAAGAGGATTTGATTCTACCATATCTGGATCTTGAGAAGAAGATTTTTGAAATTTCAGTCAAAATGGATGAAGGTAATTTATTTGAACATAACTTGGTAACCCTTCATCCAAGCATGTTAATGGCCAAATGTCATCACCCCAGCTTTTGGTGACCTTGAAAATGGATGAAGGTAATTTATTTGAACAAACTTGGTAACCCTTCATCCAAGCATGTTAATGGCCAAATGTCATCACCCCAGGCCTCTAGGTTATTCAGAAGGAGTTGTTTAAATGATTACAACATATTTGAACCCATTGACCTTGAATATGATTAAAGGTCATTCCTTTGAACAAACTTGGTAGGGTTATTCAGAAGTAGTTGTTTAAAGGTTTTATACAAATTTGACCCCTGTGACTTTGAAAATGGATGAAGGTAATTTATTTGAACAAACTTGGTAACCCTTCATCCAAGCATGTTAATCCCTATATAAACTAGAGTAAAGTGTACCCCCTCCCCAGGGGTAAACGTGAGACCCTAGGGTC